CTTTATACACACACACACACACACACATATAATATATATATATATATATATAATTATAACATTCATATGTGTGTGTAAAAATAATTTTAAGTACATAAAAATAATTGTATAATTTTAAATGTGAAAGTGTATTTAACTATATTTTATATATACATATAATCTATAATTTTAAATATCTTATTAAATTAATTTTGTACAATTGAAATGTAAAATAGTATAGTTATATAAAAACAATTATAATTTTAATATTTACCTTTTAATGTGTATATATAATTATAAATACAAATAATTGTATAAATTTAAATGTAAAGTAATTCATTATATTTAACTATTTAGAATAGAATAATGAAATAGAATAAAATTTATTTTATATATACATATAATCTTATCTATCTATGTGTGTGTGTGTGTGTAAAAATTATTATTTTAAGTATATAAATAAAAATAATTGTATACATTTTAAATGTGAAAATTAAAAATTATAATTTGTAAATATATATATTTAAATTAAATACATTATATACAAATTATAATGAAATTATAATTTAAATAAAATTGTATTTAGTACATATAATTAAAATAATTTTACATATGTAAAAATATATACAATTATTTTAATTAATATAAGTTCTATAAGTGTAAGTTTTGAATGTATATATACATATTTATATTATGTATGTATGTGATTAAAATAATTTCAAACAAAAAAAAAATGTTTGAATACAAAATATGTTCATTGTATTTAAATATATTTCTATATTTTATACATGAGATATATTGGTAATTTATATATATATATATATATAATAATTTAAGTTGTGTAATTAGCATGCTAATGGTGAATGGTAATGGTTAAACTCTCTTAGAGGAAGGCATATTTAAATTTGTCCACTTCAAAGCAGAAGATGCTATGTGAAATTGTGTTTCGCTATATCTCCCGTATTCCTTGTGATAGCTTCATTGACTCATTGATTTTGAACCGAACTGCTCTGTATATACCTATGTTTCAGCAGAAAAACTAGTTTGTGTTTACCTGATTTTATATAAGCATGCAAATGCAGAGGCCAAGAAGTTTGCAGTAGTCTGTCATTGGAACAGATGTGTTGTTAATCAGTAGCTTTTGTAAACATTTCTGCAGTTTAATAATCTAGTGAACCGCTGTGCTGTCTGTCCCTAAATAGGCAGCATCCTAAAAGAAATGACAGTAGCTGACCTGGAAAGCTCTACATAGGTGAAAACTTCACACGTCACACCCACACTTGAGTTTGAAGCTAAACTAATGATGTGAACCATAATATATTATTATTATATATTTAGATTATGTTTGATTTAACCAGTCATATCATATTAATGATTATTTTTCAGCACTGAATGAAGTAGAACTGGAGTTTCCCTGGACTCTGTCAACCATCTTCTGAAATATTTTTTATACAGTGCTTGTTGCAGTGCATTCTGGGTTTGGCTT